GTTTTAAAAAAGAATTCTAACCGCACAGAATCATATGGGATAAAGAGTGAAAGTAGTAGTGGGCAGGCACGGTGGCTCACGCCTGTAATCCCAGCACTTTGGGTGGCTGAGGTAGGCAGATCACCTAAGGTAGGGAGTTCGAGACCAACCTAACCAACGTGGAGAAACCTGTCTCTACTAAAAATACAAAATTAGCTGGGTGAGGTGGCACATGCCTATAATCCCAGATACTTGGGAGGCTGAGGCAGGAGAATGGCTTGAACCTGGGAGGCAGAAGTTACAGTAAGCCAAGATCTCACCATTGCACTCCAGCCTGGGCAACAAGAGCAAAACTCGGTCTCAAAATGAAGGAATGAAGGAATGAATGAATGTAGTTCTTCCAGAGTGTTCCTTCCCCATCTCATCCACCCTGGATTAGTCAGGGGTCTCCAGAGAAAGTGTGTGTGTGTGTGTGTGTGTGTGTGTGTTTATACATATATGTAGAGAAAGAGATTTGTTTTAATGAATTGGTGTGCATGATTGTAGTGGCTGGCAAGTTCAAAACCTGGAGATCTGGGGAAGAGTTGCACTTTGACTCTGAAGACAGCCCCGCTGGTCAAGTTTCTTCTTTTCAGTGTGTGGGGAGGCTAGCCTTTTTTCTCTTAAGGTCTTCAGCTGATTGGATGAGGCCCACTCACATGACAGAGGGCATCTACTCTGCTCGAAGTCTGTTGAGTTAAATATCAGTCTCATTTAAAGAATACCTTCACAGAAATATCTAGAATAATGTTTAATCAAATATCTAGGTACTGTGACCTAGCCAAGTCGATGCGTGAAATTAATCATCACACGCCTCCCATTCATCTTCCTTCTGTTCTTAACACTTTGGTGTGGTTTTCCTAGATGTTTTCTATGCAGTTTCCTGTGTGTGCATGTGTATGTGTTGAGAGCTTTAATGCACTTAGATAATGATAACCTCCCCCCGCTCCCAACTTTTTTTTGAGACAGGGTCTTGCTTTGTCACCCAGGCTGGAGTTCAGTGCGTGATCTCAGCTCACTGCAGCCTTGCCCTCCCTGGCACGAACAATCCTCCCATCTCAGCCTGCTGAGTGGCTGGGACTACAGATATGTGCTACCATGTCTGGCTAATTAAAAAAAGATTTTTTTTTGTAGAGAGGTGGTCTCACTGTCTTGCTCAAGCTGGTTTCAAACTCCTGGCCTCAAGTGGTCCTCCCATCTTGGCCTCCCAAAGTACTGGAACTATAGATGTGAGCCACCACACCCGACCTGCCTCCCTCATTTAATTTGTGAAAATCCTAAGTGATGTTCTGGCCAGGCGCCATGGCTCACACCTATAATACCAGAACTTTGGGAGGCTGAGGTGGGTGTATTATTCGAGGTCAGGAGTACGAGATCAGCCTGGCCAACACGGTGAAACCCTGTCTCTACTAAAAATACAAAAATTAGCTGATCTTGGTAGTGGGGGTGCCTGTAGTCCCAGCTACTCTGGAGGCTGAGGCAGGAGAATAGCTTGAACCTGGAGACGGAGGTTGCAGTGAGCCAAGATGGCACCACTGCACACCAGCCTGGGCAACAGAGCAAAACTCTGTCTCAAAAAAAAAAAGTGATGTTCTAAATATTGTATCAGCCTTCCTGAGGTTGCTGTCAGCAGGTGCCTGCTGCACATTTTGAGAAGTTTTACCTTAGGAAGCTGGAGGAGTGTGGGGGTGAAAAGGAGAGGCTATGTGTCCAGAGCAGAATCCTTCACCGGTTGGGGTGAGAGGAGGGGAGGGGAGGGTATCCCTGAAAGAGACCTAATTCAGGAGCCAGATACTTCCGGAGCCCTGAGAGCGTCCCTCCTGTACCCACCGAGGGAAGACATTCCTTTTAACCCAAGCCCTTTAAGTGTAGGTTGGATGTCAGGGCTGGCAGAGGCAGATGCCATCTGGGACCCTTCCTGAAGCCCAGGTTTGCGATATATGCTAAAAGCTTTCAAAATACCTATTTCCTTTAATCCAGAAATACTGCTTCTTACAATGTCTCCTGAGAAAACAAGAAACAAAATACACAAAGCCTTAGCTCTAGGGGTTTTCATTGCCAGTTTTACTCATAAGAAAGGGAGAAACAGATCATCCGAGTGTCCAAGAGTAGGGATTTGTTAAATAATGACAATTCTACCCCACATAGAATAGAATACTCTGTATCTATCAGAAATTTTCACACAGAGTTACTCTTATGGATGTGAAGATATTGGTGATACATTCCTAAGACATATAGCAAATGGTCCTGTTTTCATTTAAAGAAAAACGTGTGGTGTGTGTGTCTGGTCTATAACATTTTTTCTTTGATTTTTGGATCTTTTTCTGCAATAAATATGAGCTATTTGTGTAATTATATGCAAAGGAAGATGTTACATTATGTTCTAGCTTATGTATTTTATTCATAAGTCAGGAAACTGCAGAATACTAGAGCAATATCTCCATCCAAAGAAGTTAAAAATGATTTTTGGGCGCTCCCTGGGTGGATTTACAAGTTTTCTGGCGCATTGATGTGAAAGCAGGCGGATAGGTTAGCTGGGAGGTTGGAGGTGGCAGCAAACTCTCCATTCCCAGAGAAGCCGAAAACCTCAGCGGCTTCTAAGTAGAGCCTGCCTGCAGCCTACTCTTTTCTCTTTAAAATTATTGTGAAACATTTCACTGTATAGCTGGAATGACCTATTTCAAAGGATGCATAAGCTAGAGCATATTAGAGAGCCTTTACCACAGTCAACAGTTATTGAGTTGATTATGCCGTGGTATGGATGTCAGGGTTAGAAAATCAACGGTATTCTGTAGAACTTTAAAGATGTTAATATTTGTGATTTAATAGTCCTGTGGGGAGGCAACTAGCCGCCTTATTAAGTGGGCAGGGCTACTTGAGCCCTCTCGTTGTTCCATGAAAAATTATATTCCTATTAAAAATTGGCTGATGCAGTGGCTCACGCCTGTGATCCCAGCACTTTGGGAGACCGAGGTGGGTGGATCACCTGAGGTTAGGAGTGTGAAACCAATCTGACCAACATGATGAAATTCTGTCTCTACAAAAAATACAAAATTAGCCAGGCATGGTGGCACATGCCTGTAATCCCAGCTACTTGAGAGACTGAGGCAAGAGAATTGCTTGAACCCAGGAGGCAGAGATTGCAGTGAGCTGAGATCGCATCATTGCACTCCAGTCTGGGCAACAAGAGCAAAACTCCATCTCAAAAACAAACAAACAAAAAATCTGGTAGAAATTGGGCTGAGCTGCTGTGGAGTTGCTCTCAATGTAAACTCTGTGCCCCGCATGCAGTGGTGGTGTCGCTGGCGGTGCCAAGAGTGAAAATTGATTAGCTGCTAGCCTGGGTTGATTTTAGCATCTCACCGTATCTGCGTGTGTGCGGCGGTGAACCTGAAGCTGCACTCTTTTCCTTTGTTACGAAGTCTCTTCATCAGCTCGGGCTGCTGCAATGAAACACCGTAGACTGGGCGCTTACTCAGAATGGAAGGTGATTCCTCACAGTTCGGGGAGCTGGAAGTCCAAGATCTTATACAGAATGGAAATTTATCTCTCACAGTTCTGGAGGCTGGAAGCCCAAGATCAGGGCACCAGCATGGTGGGACTCGGCCTGGGTCCTCTTCCAGGGTGCAGACTGCAGACTTCTCTGTGTGTCCTCACATGGGGGAAAAAGGCACAAGAGCGCTCTTGAGGTCCCTTTTATGGGACACTGATTCCATTTATGGGGCTCCACCCTTGTGATCTAATCACCCCACCAAAGCCCCACTTCCTAGTGCCACCCCACTGGGAGCTAGGATTTTAACATTTGGTGATAGTTAATTACTAGATCTCCATTGCTTCTCGGCCTTTTAGCTAAGATCTAGTGTGATTACTAGATCTCCAAAGTCAACCCTCAGTGTATCTATCCAGCTTGCTTCTCTCTCCATGACTTCACGTGCTATCTATCTCTGCCTGACGTCTCCACTGGGTTGTCCAGAGACAGTCTCATACAGTGCACTGAGGTCTGCACGCCATCTGTCCCCACAACGGCTCTGTCCCATGTCCTGTCCCTCTCATTTGATGGAACTGCATCCTCTCAGCTGCTATAGCCGAAACTTTGGGGTTATCCTGGACTCTTTTTCTATCCAACCTCACCTCCATTCTAACAGCAAATCTTCCTTTCCAGAATCCAAATTCGCCTCCCCACTGCTGCCCCTACCCTGATGTGACACCATTGTCACCTGCCTGGCCCCACAGTGGCCTCCCATCAGCCCCCGATCTCCACCCTGTTCTTCCAGAGCCTGTTTCCCGCCCAGCAGCCGGAGTGGATGTAGATGATTGGCAGTGGACCGCTTAGCATGCTCCCCCTACTCACGGGGTCCCCAGGGCCCTGTCCACGGCTTCTGAGGCCCCATGTTGCCTCCTGGACGCGGGTCACTCCACTTCTCACTCATTCATTCTGTTCTAACCCCGCTGGCCGCTGGGCTACTCCCTGGATGAAGCAGGCATGGTCCTGAGTTGGGGCCTTTGCTCGAGCTATTTCCCCCACTGGGGCGTTTCCCTCTCTCTGTATCCCTGTGGCCCATTGCCTTGCCTCTTTCACACATGGGCCCCAGCGTCACCTCTGGCAAGCCCAGCCTGACCACCCTATTCCCTAGACAGCTGCCCCACATCGCGCACGCACCTTTCTCTACGTTTATTTCCCTATAAGCCCTGTAGTTGGTGCGTTTCCTTCTCTGGGGAAAGCACGCCCTGGGAGGGCTGAGATCTTGATAGTCCACCGATGTTTCCATGCCTAGGCCCTCACTCCAGTCAGTCCTCAACACACATTTGAGAAGGAACGAGTGGCTGGCTCTCTCTAAACCATCTCTGAGAATTGGGACTCCAGGTCCCCATCACTGCCTGTCCAGCCCCCTGGAGGGTAGTGGGTGCCCCTCGAGGTCCCTGGTGCTGACCGCCATGCTCTGGCTCTGCCCCTCTGACCCGATTCCCCTCTTCATTTCTAGACCGGCCTTATTGTCGCCTGCTACCACGGCTTTGTGGATACTGTGGTGGCCTTAGCAGAGTGCCCCCACGTTGACGTCAACTGGCAGGACAGCGAGGGGAACACAGCCCTAATCACAGCTGCACAGGCAGGTAAGAGCGGGCTTTCCCCTTCCCTCCCAGAGCCGTGACCAGAGCACCACTGCCAGGCAGCCCGGGCTCCCAGTGCGATGCATCAGGATGGAAATGATCAGAAACCATGTCCTGCTCCCAAGGGGTGCCAGGGAAGGGCTGATCGCTGTGAGGGCACACACTATGCATTTGGGACACTCAATGCATTTACCCACTCATTCAGAATTTGGTACGGGTAGAGCAAGCTCTGATGCTGGCTGAAGGTTTTGAATATGAATCTGCACCAGAAAGCCGCCCTTGTCACCGCTTCGCCCGAAGCCTCACACTCCATCCTGCTCCCGAAGACTGGGGGTGGCACGAGGCTGGCAGACCCACCAGTGGAAGAGACACAGTCCTGTGTCTCAGTGATAGTTAATCATGAAAGTAGACACACGTAGATGACCTTGCACTTTACCTGTAGAGTTAAAGAAACGCCAGGAAGTGTTTCTGAGAGCCGTTAGAGTATTCGTGTAACAAGGTGAGACTAAATGAGTGTGAGTGTCTTGTGAGCGGGTATCTGAGCATGCGGCCTTCAGCCCATGACAGTCATCGAGAGGACGGCACTTATGTCAACATTGGCAAGTGCGTTGTGACCTCCTCTGGACATTTTTTAAAGGACAGACATGAAAGCTGTGCTTGCCTCTTCATAATCACACTTCATTTGGAACGGCGGCCTTGGCCATGTTTAGCACTGACCCCTTTTAGATTTCTTGGCCTCCAAAGATTCTATGTTTCATCAGTCGAGTTCTCAGTTGCAAGCAAAGAAGCTGCCTGCAGCCGAGCCAGGAAGAACAGGCACTTGTGTGTTGTGGGAAGGAGGGGAAGCTCCCACGATTGTCAGGGGTTGTTGAGAATTCCACTCAGGGCCTGGAAGCTGGAGGAAATGCTCCAGGCCACGCTGTATGTTGCTTCTGGTTGGGAAATGGCTGTTGCTGTCACCGAAGGGAGGCCTCCTTGTCCCTTCAAAGCCAGCCTGGGTGGATCTGATGGGCGAGGGGCCAGGGAAGCTGGAAAAAACTGTCTGGCAGTTTCATCCCCCATGGTGGGAATGGTCTGTGCACCCCACTTTCCAGTCAAGATGAATAGAGTGGAGAGCTCTCCAAACTCAGAAAGGGCCATGGGCCGTACTAACATGTTTTCACCGCCTCAGGTTTCAGAGCATGAGACATCACCTCCGTGGAGGATTCCAGCCTTTGAAATCCCAGCAAGAGTGTGAAAGGGCTTTGTAAGGCATTCAGTGATTATGTCTCATCATTCATTTCCTCTGATGGACCAGCTGCCATGTCAGGGGCCAAGGATACAGAAGTATATGGCAGCCCTATCCTTAAGTAATTCTGCAGCTCACGGGCCAGAGAAACAAACACGACACCCAGCATCATCTGTCTGCCAAAGCTCGGTGCTGTGGGACGAGAGTACTCCATCAAGCCTGAAGTTTAGGATGAGGTCTTGCAGGAAGGGGGTGTCAGCTGGAAAAGTCTGAGGCAGGCCACTTCAGGCAATACATCGCAAGGCCATGGGGCTGAGAGGGAGCCAGGCAGTTCTCAGGAATGGCGAGTCTTCGGAACAGTGTGCGTGGACATGGCTGTAGGATGGCGTGTGCCTAGGAGAGATGAGGGGAGGATGGGGACCAGGTCATCAAGGGTCTAAGCACAATGGAAGAAAATGCATTTCAGTAGCGTGAGGCTGCATGAGTGGTGACAGGGGTGAGAGGATCCTGGGGGCTTAGCAGGGGGCTCAGCACAGGAAGGCCAGGAGCTGTGTGGCTGGAAGCATAGGTGGCGGTGGTGGTGATGTGGGACATGGAGGAGAGCTGGGGTCTAGGATGGCTTTGGGCTTTGGGACAGGGGCTAACACCAACTGCAAAGGGCATGTAAGTCAAAGAAAAGGGGCCAGGCACGGTGGCTCACCCCCGTAATCTCAGCACTTTGGGAGGCCGAGGCGGGCAGATCATGAGATCAGGAGTTTGAGACAAGCCTGGCCAATATGGTGAAACCCTGTCTCTGCTTAAAAACAAAAACAAAAATGAAAAACACTAGCCAGGTGTGGTGGTATGTGCCTGTAGTCCCAGCTACTTGGGAGGCTAAGGCAGGAAAATCACTTGAACCCAGGAGGCGGAGGTAGCAGTGAGCCGATATTGCACCACTGCACTCCAGCATGGGCAAAAGAGGGAGACTGTATCTCAAAACAAAAAAAAAAAAAAAAAAAAAGAAAAGAAAAATGGGAGGAACATTGGTTCTGAGCTGGCTGTCATGACTGAAATGAGACCTCTAAGTGAAGAGGTCTCCATGGCAAGACAAGAAGAGAATGGAGCTCTAAAGTCTGGTCCCTGCTGGAAATACAGATGGGGACAGGTGTTGCTGGCGAAAGCTGGGACATAGATTAGGCCATGATGGTATGACAATGTCCGATAAGAAGGGATTTCTTTTCTTATTGATCTGCCAGAGTTCTTTGTGTGTTGTTTTGATTTTGTATTCACTCATAATTGTTTCTTCAGAGTTAGGTGCACATTGTCTATTTTTGGCAAGAATACGGCATTGGCCATGATGTGTCATTGGCGTGTCCTATCAGGAGCACATACTGCCAGTTTATCCTGGTGTGGGCGATGCTAAATTTAACGAACTGCTCACAGTGATAGTCACCACATTTCTCCATTTTAAAGGCAGATATTTCCCCTCTATAATTAATAAGTAATCTGCACGTTGATACAGGGAGATTGTATGAATACCGTTTCCCCACCAATTTTTGCCATTGATAATCCTTATCTGGATCATTTATTATACACTTATTATCTGATATTTTACTATAAAGAAGAGCTTTCCTTTAGCTTTGCCCTTTTTTTCAGTACCGTTACTCATTTTTAAAAAATTCATGTGTTCTACTTCAATAATGCCTTTGTTCTTTTCAGTGCTGAAGTTATCCCAAACCCAGCCAGTGGGAAACCCCAGAAATGGCTCCAGGGTCCTTTTGTCGTATTTTGGTCAGTTTTGAGTACTTACTTGATTTATGGCACAGCAGAGTGTTCCACATTCTCCCTGGACTTTCCTAGTCTCATCTGCGACCAGCCATCATGTTGTACCAGAGCGAGCATAGAAAGCCAACACCAACACAAAAGTATACCAAACTGCAGGGTCTTTATTGCCGGCGACCACAGAGGACTCACTTCCCTCCAACCCGTGGCCCCGAAAGGAGGGTGTCAAGACCTTTTATGACTGTAAACCACCTCCTGGGTAGGGGTAGGGGCAAAGGGCTTTGGACATTCTGTGGGCCAGTGGACTTTGGACATTCTGTAAACCACTTCCTGGGCAGAGGTGAGGGTGAGGGGCTGCAGACATTCTGATTGTTACTTAAGTGGTTCACAGAAGTAAAGATAAGCATTAGTGAGACCTGAGTCCTCTGTGGCCGCTGGCAATAAAGACCCTGCAATTTGGCCTACTTTTGTCTTGGTGTTGGCTTTCTTTTTTTTTTTTTGAGACGGAGTTTCACTCTTGTTACCCAGGCTGGAGTGCAATGGCACGATCTCGGCTCACCACAACCTCCGCCTCCTGGGTTCAGGCAATTCTCCTGCCTCAGCCTCCTGAGTAGCTGGGACTACAGGCACGCGCCACCATGCCCAGCTAATTTTTTGTATTTTTAGACGGGGTTTCACCATGTTGACCAGGATGGCCTCAATCTCTTGACCTCGTGATCCACCCGCCTCGGCCTCCCAAAGTGCTGGGATTACAGGCATGAGCCACCGCGCCTGGCAACTTGGTGTTGGCTTTCTATGCTCGCTCTGGTACAATAATATCTTCAAGGAATGATAGTTCTTTCTTTAGCGAGCAATGGTATTTAGAAATCAAAATCTGGGCTCTAGCTGTGCCCATTGGCATTAGATGTTATTGCTTGTAGGTGTTTCTGTGAGCAGAGTTAGAAAAAAAATTTTAAATAAGGATACCTCCAATCCAAATGCAACACCATAGTCTTCCTCCTCTTCACCCTTTCCGTATGCTTCTCCCCATTCTTTGTCAGCAGAAGCCTGGTTCCAGCAATCACAATGTGTTCACCCATTTTCCTTTCCTACAACAAATGTGCACAAAGTCATGATACTAAAGGATAATTTGCAGAAGCTAAAAAATTTGACCCTTAGGTGGATATAAAGGGAAAACTCATTCATTAGTGATGAGCTAGTAATTAGTTAAGGCCAGTTCAAAGGAAATTTGAAGAACAGACACAGAGAGAAGCAATCACAAATGCTGAAATACATCTGCTAATAGATGCAAAACTGGTCAATATCCTATAAGGCAATAGAGTATAATGTTGTGGGTTATCTTTTCTATGAGGTGAAGTTGTGGACTGAATGATTACGTCCTCCCCATCACATTCATGTGTTGAAGCCCCAACCCCCAACATGATGGCATTAGAAGGTGGGGATTTGGGGAAGTATGGCATTTAGATGAGATCATGAGGGTAGGGCCACTGGGATGGGATTAGTGTCCTTAGGAAGAGGAAGAGACCAGAGCTCACTCCCTCCCCACCATGTGAGGACACAGTGAGAAGACAGCTGTCTGCAAACCAGCAGGAGGATCCTCGTCAGCCAGGGAATCTGTTGGTGCCTTGTTCTTGGACTTCACAGCCTCCAGAACTGTGAGAAATAAATGTCTGCTGTTTAAGCCACCCAGTTTGTGGTATTTTGTTATAGCTGCCTGAGCTATAACAGGAAGTGAGCCAGACATCCCTCTACCAGATACGATGCAGTTGATATTGGTATCTAAATATTCAACTATTCTTGTTGAATATTTATACTTAATTGAAATAATTTCTTAAGGGAGGTTTTGTTTAAGGCGTATTAACAGGAAATTGTGTATAAGATATTTAATGAAGTAAGAAATTCAACAAGAATGATTAAGTCACTTGCCAAGTGGTTGTCATTTGATAAACCCTGGTTTACCTGTCTTGCTATTGCGACATTTCATTTGGAAGGATGTTTGTGTTGTAGCTAACTG